ACAAGTAATAACAACAATAATCAATATCATTATGGTGGGTGGCGGCGGGAGGCGGTGGCAGGACCGGCCTGGGGCCGGTCCAAAGGCCTGGGGGGGGGGCGCATCTGGCCCTTGGGCCTTAGGTTGCCTACCCCTGGTCTATTGTATACTTGAAAGTTATTTAAATCCACTGTGGTCATTATTTTTGTTCAACTGTAGAGCTGCTTTACATTTTCTTCCTTGACTTTCTTCAATAATTGCTCCAAGTCTCTGGTATTTTCTATTAGTAATATTCTACCACCTTCTTATCTTAGATTGTTGATGTTCCATCCTTCAATTTTCACACCTCCTCCATTTAAATCTAATCCTGTTTTATGTATGACGTTTTTGGCATACAAGTTAAACAGACAAGATGATAAAATGCAGCTTTACCTGACCCCTTTGCCAATTGGAAACCACTCCATTTCTCCATATTCTGTCCTAACAGTAGCCTCTAATCCTGAGTACAGGATACACATCAGTACAATCAAATGTTGTGACACCCCCATTTCTCTGTGATCCATAACTTTTCATAATCTATATGATCAAAGGCTTTGCTATGTTCTATAAAGTATAGGTTGATTATCTTTTGAAAGTCTTTTCTATGTCCCATTAACCAACATATGTTTGCAATATGATTCCTAGTGCCTCTTCTTCTTTTGAACTTAACTTGGACATCTGGCATTTCTCTTTCCATGTACAGTAAAATTCTATGTTGTAGAATTTGAGCATCACTGCTTGCATGGGCAATTAATGTGAGATTAAAAATGAGGCCTCTCAAACATAATTTTCCCATTTTTAATAGAGTGAAAAGCAGTGCACTGACAAAGAGGACAGCAAACTCCACTCAGAAATTGAAGATTACAATGTTCTACTTCTCCCTTCCAAATAATGCAATTATCTTTGGAGACATACCACTTCATTGAAACTGTTCCATTCTGCATTTGCTTTAAACTCATAAGCTGCATTCAGTAGTTTCAGAGTTCAGCAGAGAGATGCAACTGCAGAATGAAGAGCTTGTCACTGGAGATCAGTTTTGCTTTGAACAGTCCTCCCTCCCATTCCAGCTCCTAGTTTATGCTTTCCACAGGCATTCAAGTAGTTCAAGGACTGCATGCTCATAATAATGCTTCCTTTGTGTTTGACTACTTCATGACAGATCCTGAGAAATGTGGGAAAAGAATTAAAGGCACTCTCCTCCTCCAAAAACCATTCACTTAGCTTAGACTTGATACTGGCTCTGAGAACCTAAAATAGTAAAAAACACAGATGGGAAAGATTAGAGCTGGATTAGAACTGTAATCTATACATATCCTGTGTATTACACTCATTTCAAAATGCAGGTTTGCCATTCAAACATGCTTTGGCACAGTGGGAAAATTTCCTATTTGTATATTCACACAACCAGTTTGGAATGCAGATGTGAGTGCTGAGCAGAAAAAAATAATTAATCAGTATTGGGTGGTCTTGTAAATGATTCTGATTGGAAGACAAGCTGCTCAAGCTTTATCAAGAACTAGGTGTTTCTTTCTGTAAATGAGAATATATATTCTTAGTTGTCTAAGGCTGCATCTGCACAGCAGAAATAATGAAGTTGACACCACTTTAACTGCCATGGCGCAATGCTATAGATCCTATGATTTATAATTTGTTGCAGCATCAGAGCCCTTTGACTGAAAAGACTAAATATCTCCCAAAACCACAAATCCCAGGATTCCATAGCATTGAGCCATGGCAATTAAATAATGCAGTTATCAATCTGCATTATTTTTGCAGTGCAGATGCAACCTAGGTTAAATAACTTCTATATAGTATAGACAGCTATTTTAGCTGGTGAATGACACAAATAATGCCACAGAAAGTGTTTGGAAAATAGATCAAGGTGGAAGTGTACAAAGATACTGTTCTTTCAACTGGTTCTAAATACACTAGCTGAGATCCTACATTAAACTCATAGCCATGCTTTATCTCCCTATCCAACCCATGACTCTTACTTTAAAAGTCAGTCAGCCATCCCCAGTGATAGAGGATTTTGCTGTTGGCAAGTTGGGGCACTGCAGAATAATGTGACCAGCCCCCTACTGCCAGCAAGTGATGCTGGGATGAAGAGTTGTGACAGGTCCTAGCAGAGGTCTTCTGTTTCTGCTCCTTACAGTGTCAGTGGCAGAAGAAGAATGGCCACATGATCAACAGTGCCCTGCATAACAGCAACACAGACATCCATTGCTCAGGATGGCTGGTAGGCATTTAAGGTGGATTTCAGGGTCCTTTGTAGTTGTAGCAACAGTGGTATGATAGCAGATGAGAATGCGAAACTGTTACAATATTCTAAATCTAACCTGTGGCATTGTAACTGACCAACAAGCTAGTGTGGTGTAGTGGTTTGAACACTGGATTACAGCTCTAGAGATCAGAGTTTAATTCCCTGCTTGGCCATGGGAACCCATTGGGTGACCTTGAGTGAGTCATACACTCTCAGCCCCACACAATCCCATGATAGGTTTGCCTTAGGGTCAACATAAGTCAGAAATTATTTGAAGGCAGACAACAATACCAAAGCTGTCAAACAGGGTGTCAGCCATTGTCTTCTAGTGCACATTCACTGAGATCCTACATCAGGTTGGAAAAGCATATATGTTCACAGAGTTGTACATTAATTGTGCTATGCAACCCTTGTGCTGAATGGCAACATTGTGCAATTGAACCACAGCACCACATGTGTAATTGAATGGACAATCCGATGCGAATGTGCATCCATACCAATTAGACATTGATATGCAATGCACAATGAGCATCTACATGCACAATGACACTCCATATGCAACTTGTGATGTTCCACATTGTACAAAAATGTCCAAGTGTTTTCATGGGAGAAGCTACATGTTTGTAAGACACAAAGAGGCCAGTACTTTATGGCACAGTATAATATAATAGTTTTATACATGGAACTGCAGACTTCAGCTAGCCACTCACTCAAACCCCATAAACTTACTGCTAAGCTGCTAAAATGCACCCACAGACATTCTGTGGCTAGTGAAGTGCAGGGGAAATAGAAGAAGCATCTGTCTGTGTCCCTATATGACAAAATGATGACATCATTCCCTGAGGTCCACCAAGGTCTTCTTGAGGCCTTAGTGGATGATGCAATCATTTCCTCACTCTGAAATGATCCACAGGGACATAGCCAGACATTTCTCCAATCTCTGCACACATTCTACCAGCTATGGAATGACCATGGGGGGGATGCAGCAGATCAGGGGTAGGCAACCTTTCCTCTTTAAGGGCCGAGGGACTTCAGCTCCCGCGGCCCTTAAAGGGGAAAGGTTGCCTGCCCATGCATTAGATCAATAGTGATTCTGATTGGGCCCTTTCATCATTGAGAAGGGAATACCAGTCCCAACAACAGCAGCAACGAAGAGATATAAGCAAGCATAAGATGGACTTATGCCTGCATTTGCTATTAACAGGATACCAGCCAATGTCTACAGGCTTTAAGCCTAGAACTAAAGATACAGATTTTAAATACAGAGTTGTGTGATGATGGTAATAAATGCATGTTTCAACCTGATACCAATCTCAGTGCAAGAGAGACTGAAATATCTACCAAAAGAAGTAGGCCATTTCACACGTTGTGAAATACAATGCCTGTGAGGTTTCCTTACTGCCTCGGCAGACGGCTTATTGAGCCATCTTGGAGGCAGGGAAGAGGAGGGGCAGCCACACATGCGGCGCCCCTTCCTCCTCCCGAGGTTGCCGGAGCTCCGGGGGCAACCTCCTGCCGCAGCGTCTGCACATGCTGCGGAGGAAAAGTCAGGGAAAGTGTGCCCTACGCGTTTATGGCACACTTTCCCTGACTTCTGAAAGGAGCGCCAATTTTGCGCTCCTTTCAGGGACGCTGCCGGTGCGCTGCAGTGCGGCTGCCTCGCTCCAGCGGTGCACCATCCCGTGGCGTCCCCAACACCGCCGTCTGCTTAGCCCCATAGTCTCAGTAGATGTCTGTGTCTCTCCACCTTCCAGTTCAATGCATGTGCACAAAACACATGGAAGAATTACACTTAGTTATTGAAAAGGTAAAGCTTTCCTCTTTGATAAGTTTGTCTAGTTGTGTTTGACTGTAGGGGCAGAGCTCATCACTGTTACTAAGCTGAGAGAGCCAGCGTTGTCAAAGACAGGTCTGTGCTCATGTGACCAGTATGACTGCATAGAACACTGTTACCTTCTCACCAAAGTGGTTTCTATTTATCTACTTGTCCTTTTATATGCTTTTGAACTGCTAGGTTGGCAGAAGCTGAGACTACTGATGAGAGCTCACCCGTCACGTGGCACATGGGGCTTGAACTGCCAATCTGCCAAGCTTGTGATCATCAAAGTGAGCATCTTAACTGCTAAGCCACCACTTAGATATTATTTATGGGAAATAGGAGGTCTGTGTGAATTGTAGCCCTTAGCACAAAGACCACTCTTTGGGTCTCCAGTTGTATAATTTCCATAATCTCATTCCACTGGCCATGGTAGCTGGGAGCTGACATTTGGAAGGCCAAAAACATTTGGAAGGCCAAGTGTTCTCCACTCCTGCCTTAATGTGTAGTTGGACATATGCACTGGTCCTAAGATAAATAAATGATAATAGAAAATAAAAGGTATTTAATATATTCTCCTGCCAACAAGGTAATGAAAGATTTAGGAATATTTGGAAACATATGTCAACCAAAGAGGCTTACAAGTCATCTTGCAGACCTCCCACATCTACAAAATATGTATGTTGCTGCTGGCTAGAATAGCTTGCTGTGACTACAAAATCAAATATTTGTATTTTAATCATGCACAGATATATTGTTTCATTTTCAACATTTCCCACATACCTTCCATTGCCCTTGTGTTCTCAAAGTTTCTCAGGGCCCCAAAAGTAAATGTGATCTTTGTTTTATTTCTCTCTCTCTCTCTCTCTCTCTCTCTCTCTCTCTATATATATATATATATATATATATATATGAATTATTTTGGTCTCTGTGTATCAAGTAGCTAATCCAATGAAGCTGTTACTTTATCAAGAAGAAGAGAGCCGTTCATGGCAGAAAGTGAGGAACAAAGCAAATGGATTTCATGGACCTTATATAGAGCTAGTCAGGAAATGGTCTCTGTTTCTTGATTTGTTTGCTGGGACTCAATGAGAACATTTGTATTGTATTACCCATCTGTATTGTACTGTAGAGCTTAAAATTTAGTGCTATTACTTCTCTAAAACAAAACAAAAATTGTTCTTGGATTTCTAATGGGTTATAATTACAAACCATTAGTCAGATAGTCAACGTCATGCAGTAGTTTGAGTATTAGACTCCAGCTTCAGGAGACAAGAATTTGAATCCCTACTTAGGCATGGAATCCTATTGGATGGCCTTGGATAAATCATAGTAAATGTTCTGTGAATAAATCTTGTCAAGAAAACCCCATAATAGGCTTGTCACAAGTTGAAGTCAACTTGAAAGCCAACAACAATAACAACAATGGGAGATGGAGGCATTGTCCAGTTTTGGAGAACAGTAGAAGATCTTTGGCTATTGTGAAGTTGTAGGCTTTCATGACCGACATCCATATTTTTTTTGTGGGTTTTTCGGGCTGTGTGGCCATGTTCTAGAAGAGTTTCTTTCTGACATTTCACCAGCATCTGTGGCTGGCATCTTCAGAGAAAATTTTGTCTTCAGTCTGAAGATGCCAGCCACAGATGCTGGCGAAACGTCAGAAAGAAACTCTTCTAGAACATGGCCACACAGCCCAAAAAACCCACAAAAAATCTTTGGCTATTCTTCTGGTGTTCCTCAATGATCCTCTCTGCTATAGTATGAAGCTGTGTGTGCCTCATGGCTTCTCTTATACTGCCTAAATCAGTGATCCCCAAACTTTTTTGGGTTACTACTCCCTTTTCTCTGGGGTGACAACTCCGGTGACCCCCAATACATATTTCTTGATATTAGGTTTACTGTTCTATGGCAAATTTGAAATAACTAATCTTGAATGCTGCTTCCTTTGCACTAAGTCACCGTGGGAGCAGCAACCAAGCAGCTGGCTAATAAGCAACGGAAAAACCATTTGGAGCCATGGAGAAGAAGATCTGGCTGGGTTCCTGAATCAC